GATTGTGACCCACCACCCAACTCTTGAGCATGTAACCTCCCTGCATATCAGAGGCGAGTGTGCAGCGGACAAATGACTGATCTTTCATCACACTACAGATTAAAGGAACTCTACGATTTAAATATTCTTGTGCCACCATAAGAATCACCAGAGTACATACAACTGAGATGGCCTGAGGGGACCCACACAGTCAGGACCATCAGTTCCACCGTGTGTCAGAGAATGGTTATACAAGGAGCAAGAGCGGAGAGAACCTACAGCTACTGAGCTGGTGGGACAGCGAATGGCGACTGCGCTTCCGGCTGGGGCAGTGCCACTGAAAGGGGATCCCCACTTCTGATAAGCAGCAGGAGCAGGGAAACAATAGGTGATTTGATGAGAGCTGCTCTATGATACTCCTGAGAAGCCCCACAGCCAGCCCCGGCCAGAGAGGAAATTGGGGGTTTCCACAGCAACCTGCTCAGGGCACAAAGGCCCAACTGTCTGGGGGGAAGCAATGGAGGTGTCTGAGTGCTCCCGTTTTAAGAAGGGACAGGGGTGGAGAGCAGGAGTCTTTCTGAAGCCAAAGTACCTGCAAAAGCATTTTTGTACACCAGGAACTTAATTGGATATTGGTCCTATAACCAGGGAGGAGCAGTGCTGGAGAAGGAAGCAGTTACTGTAGTCTTTAGCCTAACTAAAAGGTAGGGCCTTCGCAGGTGAAAAAAAGCTGCAAGAAAAACATGGCACTTGGCTCCCTAATTTGACTAATATAGCCCATGACAAAGAGAGAGAGAGGGAGAGAAAGAGAGAGAGACATTAATGATCAAGCTGGCAGAAAGAAATAAGAAAATCTTCTCTTGGGCACACAGGACTGAGATAAAAGAGAACGTAAGATTAAAACAAAACAACAAAAAACCAAAACACATTAAACTTAAAGTGGGGAAGTTTATAATTTATTTACACAAATATAAACAAAAATAGAAACATCTCTGGAGAAGGAAAGAACCAAAACAATGGCTGGAGGCTGATCAGTCTGTGATAATTAACTCATCCACACCCCAGTCTTCATAGCTCCCGTCTGGCAGGTAACGACGGATGATGATGGGAATCTTGCGTGCTCTGAAGGGAGGACAGAGAAGTGAACAGAAAAGCCAGAGCCTTCACTATGTACCATTTCAGCATGCAATGGGAACTGAGGTGTTTAGTGGCCTCAGGAAGTTCATCAGGTTTAACTGAGACACCTGTGTGGCACCAGTGATTTGGTATTATACAGCAGAAGGGAGTTCCAACAGCCTTCTCTCTTTTATAGGTGCAAAGCACTGAGACTCGAATCAATCAAACACCCACAGGTGGTCAGCCTTCTGTTGCTACTGCAGGAACTGAGCCCCGTGATCTGACCCCACTATGAGACAACACCAAGCATCTAACAGATATAGGGGGGGGGGAAAAAAAAAAAAAAATTCAAGGGACTTGAAGAACAAATCCACTTTTTGTTTGATGGAAGATTTTTCCCCACAAGACACTACAAAAGTGGCAGAATTCCAACAACCTTCGTGGCAAACTGGTATTTACACAGTATTTTGCACCCTGAGAGCATCAGTTACATTAAAAGAAGGATACATGAAATAGGGACTACTGAGGCACCAAAACCTGGTACAGCTGGGGTGGAGCAGAGCATCTGCTTACACTGCTTCTAATTAGAAAGTGAGGAAGTGCTGAACACAATTTAACTTAATGGAAGTCGATTTAAGTCAGCAGAATGTAATCAGACAGTCTGGAATCTAACCAGGGCATCAGGTTTCAACCGTATCAGACTTGAAAAGTAATACAACTTCTTTAATGATCACATTCAGTGCCATTGTTTTTCCAGTAGCAAAGCAGCTCCCTCACGCCAAGAATTACAACTGAATTTTGGCAGAGAACAGGATGCCACTATGCTTTGTCACACCCTGACTTACTTTCTAAAGCTTATGCTCAGACAGTGACCAGAAGCAATTCAGGCTGAGCTTAGAGATCTGACAGGAGCATGACCTAAGGAGTTTTTGGCAATGATAAAGGGAGCTGTAATAGATATAAAAATCTGCAAGAGCAACTGCAATGCACTGAGAAACTGGGGTAGCAGAGGGACAATTCAGTTCAAGAACAGGGACTTCAAACAATAACGGAGTCCAGTTGCTCTGGACTGACCATGTAGACATTGTGGGTCAGCAGGGAACTCTGCTGTGGAAAGGTGGACCTGTCAGCGGTCATACAAAATACAGTCAAGAGGGATTTATTTACCTTTCTGTAAGCAGGGGATATGCCTCCCTGCAAGCACAGTAGGCCAAGTGTGCAAGGGTGCGGGAAAAGAACACTCTTAACAGGGTCTCCACACCACCAGCCTGACTCTTATTTCATTTTTTGCCAGCACTTCATTTGAACACAGGTCTGTTCAGACATCTGCTTCAAATCAGTTCAATTCAGGGAATTTAACTGATTCCAGAAAGATGAGGACCTTGGGTTCTCATCGTAGAAATACAGAAATCTCAGACTCTGAAGTAAAAACGGTCAGAGCACTCCTCATCATCCGCACTTTGCACAAGCAGCAAGGATGGGAGAGAGCAGCTGTGGAGAAGTCCCAAGGTGAAATGGGGGAAAGCAACTGTAGGGCTCACTGTTATCAAGGGAAGACAGGGTTGTCTTGGAATAAGCTGCTAAGTGCTGGGACCAGGAGAGCACTGCTGGCTTTATGGAAATCAAAACTAGGACTTACTTGAGTTCCTTCATGGCAATCAGCAAGGGGTCTGTCTCTCCTTCCAATTCCACCATCACTGGGGCACACATCCTGGGACAGAACATCAACAATCATTTGAGCAAATGCGCTGAGAGAGAGGAGGGACAGCTAAGCATGTGCATAACTATGTCACCCAGACAACGGTCAGTCAAGTAGGAGGGTGGGACCCCACTTGGTCAGATCTAATTTGCTCTCTTATGCACTTTGGGAAGAAAATTCCCTTAAGTGGTTATGAACTGAGCTTTTACTTGAATGTTCTTGCCCCCTCCCTCAGCCTCTGCTGACCAGCTGGTGCTCAAAGCCTGGTCAGATCCACACCCTTGCAGTCACCCTCTGCTGTACTTAAACATGAGAAAAAGAGTGGTTCTAAAATTAATCCAATGAAGAGAGTGGAAACACTAAAATGAGCGTGCCTCCTACAACTCCAGCACATCTCTTACATTCCGACATGCTCACACCTTCCAGGCTTTGTTTGGGGGGAGACAAGGGGCTGGGTTTACGACGCACTCTACCTCTAGGAAGAAAAAAATCAAGCACTTTGCAGAGGGTTGCGACAGCAGAGCAAACATGGGTGATGATATCCACCTGTTAGACAACGGCAGCAAAGAAAGTTCACGTTATGTGTGGATAAGGCCACTGGGGGCTGCTGCTGGCCTAGGTTCAGCACCAGAGGCAGAAGATGTAGGTGAAGCAGAACCAGGCGCCACAGGGTTTTCGATTAAAGGCCTGGCACGGGCTCATTCTTGCCTTCCCCCACCTTTCTGGCCTTCCACCAGTTGAAGGAATGTGCACAAAATCGCTTCACAGAGTGAAGACTGTGCAAAGGATAGCTCGGCAAAGTGATGATTAAAGCAAGATCTGATCACCACCTATAAGCTTCTAAACAGTGTAGAAGAGAAACATCATTTCAAAGGTGGATATAACCCAGATGAAACTCAGATGTGCTTTCAGACAAACCTTGCCACGCTCTAATGATCTTGCTCATAAGGCAGTTTTTCAAAAAGCACAAAACTTTTCGATATGTATTATTAAAAACAAGTCTAGACAGATAAATGGATCAAGTTGAGAGCAGGCAGCCTTAACAGCACTTAAAATAGGCTTTAAATGGTATTACCTATTATAAATGAGGCCCCACCATTCCAAATACTTAAAAAACTTACAGCTTGCCACAAAGCAACTGCACTTAAAAAAGATTTTGTGTTGTTTACTCCATTCCCAATTCCTACAGCCCTGTGGTATCAAGTGAAAATGTTCTGAAGCATCTCTCCCTCCAACATTGGCTTTTGCAAACCAGCTCTGAGCTTTCCAGCCCACACCTATAGAAGACAGAAACTTGGATCTTGTTGTATTCCCTACTTATTTTGCTTGTGACCTATGGAATTTCATCGCAGCTGCTGAATGCCCTTCTCTCTAGACACAAATACCACAGTCTCAGCTGGGGAAAGATAGAGACTTCACACCCAACTAAGAGCTCCGTAGTCCTGTGTTGACCAAGATGGCCAGCTGCAAGCTCAGCAGTCATGTAAGGGATTACATGAGATCCAGGGCTTTTTAAGGAAGGAGGAAACCAGCTTTCACCAGGAAGGGAGGAGAAGCTGTGGCAATGCTCGAGACATGGAGTGCAATACTCACGCTATCTGGAGGGCACGAGTGCCCAGGACCCTGGCTCGCTCGTATTTGGTCATGTAGGGGGTAGTGATCCGCTTCTGGTTTGCCTGCTGCCGCTCTCCCGAGGGGAGGATTTCCACGTTCTCCTGTCCCTCCTGGGGAAAGCAGACCAACGCTGCAGCTCTGCTGTGCGTCCCACTCCCGAGGCCCCTGAGGCCTCCCCAGCCCCAGCCACCGCCTAGCCAGGCTGCAAGGCGGACCTGCGGTACCGGCAGAGCCTGCCCGAGCCGGCCGGCCGGCCCGGTGGTCCGCGGGGCACCCACCTCCTCCGCGTTCTCCAGGTCCTCCAGCCCTTCATCCTCCTCCACATCGTCGAAGTCGTCCCCGTCAAAGCTGCGGGAGGGACACACACGTCGCGGGCCGGGCCGGGCCGCCGCCACCGGCTCCCCCCCCACCCGACGCCCCGGGGCGCGATACACCACCACACCGTCTCGCTTCGCCCTCCCTTCCCATCCCCAGCCGACCCCGCTCTCACTTGTCCTCGTTGTCAGACATGTTGCCTCCCCGCCGCTTCCCTGCCCGCCGGAAGTGAGAACTACTTCCGGGTGCCGGCCGTGACGCCGCCGGAAATGCCCTGGCGGCGCCGTTGCCGTGGCGACGCACCGCCGCGTTGCTCCCCCCCCCGCCTCCTGCGGCCTTCTCCTCCTCTGCTCCCCCGTGCCCTCCCGGTGCGCCGCCGGTCGCTATGGAGACGTCGCAGCTCCGCGGGACACCGGGCCGCGGCGGGAGCTCGGCGGCGGCGGGCGGAGCCCGGTACAGCCCGGCGACCCGGGAGTTGCTGAGAGGTAAGGAGGAGCGGGGCGGGGGCCAGGCCCGGCCCGGCTGCTCGACCTCCCCGTACCGCGCGGACGGGAGTGGGGGAACCGGGCGGGCCCGGCGCCGGTGGTGACGCCCCGGCTTGAGTCTTCTGAAGCTGTGTCTTCCCCTTTGGGTGGTGAGGGAGGATAGGCCCGGGGGGGACTTATCCAGCCCGGGCCCAGTCCCTGTGGGGAGGTGTGGGGCCCCCTCGGGTTGCCATGTTCACCCATGTGTCATGGACTCGATGGGTGGACTGTTCGGTGGGTGAGGAGTTGGTTGGATGGTCGCATCCAGAGGGTAGTGGTCAACGGCTGAGTGTCCAGATGGAGATCGGTGACAAGTGTTGTTCCTCAGGGGTCTATATTGGGACCAGTACTGTTCAATATCATAGAATCATAGAATGGTTAGAGTTGGAAGGGACCTTAAAGATCATCTATTTCCCCCGCCCCTGCCATGGGCAGGGACACCTCCCCTAGAGCAGGTTGCTCAAATATCTTAATCAATGATATGGACAGTGGGATTGAGTGTACCCTCAGCAAGTTTGCTGATGAGACCAAGCTGTGTGGTGCAGTTGACACACCTGAGGGACAGGATGCCATCTAGAGAGACCTGGACAAGCTCAAGAAGTGGGCCCATGTGAAGCTCATGAGATTCAACAAGGCCAAGTGCAGGGTCCTGCACCTGGGTCAGGCAACCCCTGGTATCAATACAGGCTGGGGAATGCAGGGAGCAGCCCTGCCGAGAAGGACTTGGGACTACTGGTGGATGAAAAGCTGGATATGAGCTGGCAATGTGTGCTTGCAGCCCAGAAAGCCAACCATATCCTGGGCTGCATCAAAAGAAGTATGGCCAGCAGGTTGAGGGAGGTGATTCTGCCCTTCTACTCTGGGGAGACTGGTACCATGTCCAGCTCTGGAGCCCTCAGCACAGGAAAAACATGTACCTGTTGGAGCAGTTCCAGAGGAAGGCCACAAAGATGATCAGAGGGCTGGAGCACCTCTCCCGTGAGGACAGGCTGAGAGAGTTGGGGTTGTTCAGCCTGGAGAAGAGAAGGCTCCTTCAGACCTTATTGCATGTTTTCAGTCCTTAAAGGTGACCTACAGGAACAATGGGGACAAACTTTTTAGCAGCACCTATTGAGATAGGGGTAATGGCTTTAAACTAAAAGGTAAAAGATTTAGACTAGATACAAGGAAGACATTTTTTCCAATGAGGGTGATGAAACACTGGCCCAGGTTGCCCAGAGAGGTGGTAGGTGCCCTGTCCATTCCAGGTCAGGTTGGACAGGACTTTTAGCAACCTGATCTAGCTGAAGGTGTTCCTGCTCATTGAAGGGGAGGTTAGACTAGATGACCTTTAAAGGTCTCTTCCAGCCCAAACTATTTTATGATTCTGTTTTTCAGTGATGATGGAGGAGTCAAAGCTGACGCACTTCCAGAGGCGGTATCTGATGGACTGCGTGAACCGTGAGTGATGGGTGATGGCCCTCTTGCTCTCCTGCCAGCTGCTGTTCTGTGGTGAAGAGCTTTGCTGCTTACCATGAGATGCACAAATTGCCCACAGCTTGCTTGGATGGGCAAGTGCTTTGAACCATCATCATGGCCGCTGCTGACAAGCGGGGACATACAGGGCAAGATGTGCCCAAGGGTCATACAGGCAACAAGACACAATGGCGTGACTTGAACCACAGTCTGTCTCATGTCAGCATGTACAAACACTCAGGGTGAGACATCTGTGCCACCCAGGGTCTTTGCTCGTGGTGCTGCAGCAGATCAATGGGTAGATCTTCTGCTGGCAGTAGCCCGGGGTCACCCATCTAGGCTTCTCTCTGACTTACCGTTATGTTTGGATTGTTCTCCAGGAGGAGATACCCTGCCGCTCCAGTGCCGCCCTGCATCCAGCAAAGAGCCAGCACCTCCTTTCTCCCCAGCAGTTTGTCAGCTGGTCAGGCTTTCAGCTAAACCACATCTCCGCCCTGCCAAGGTCTGCCAGGCAGGAGATGCCTACACGCGAGAGAAATTCAGGCCACAGGCAAGGCGTAAGTCGGCAAACACCACTAATGAATAAATAAAGCCGGCTGCTCCCTCTCTTCCCCTTCTGTCCATCCCCTGCCTGCAATCTCAGCAGCTGCAGGGGGTATCTTAATTGCTCTTTGTCCTTACGCTTTCTATTTTCAAAGATGCTTTTAAAATGGATCTCTGTGGGAACATCTGCTGTAAGTGCTCACTGACTTCTGCTCGCTGGCTGGGGGGGTGATAGATGGTAGGGACTCAAACAGTCCTTTGCATAAAAAGGGAGCGCTACAGAATTTTGTAGCTTATAAATGTGAATCAAACCTCTGATGTCAGTTTGATTGGCTCTGTGTGCCTGTGAGGTGCTTGCACACTTCAGCCTGGGGATGGGCTGTCATTAACCTAACACTTCCTCTGGCATCCTTAGCAGGGAAGCGGTGTGGCCAGGCTCCTCCCTGAGGTGACAACCTGATAATAATTTACTTTCCCTTTGGCATTCACAGGAGATTTGGAAAAGGAGAAGCAAAGGCTCCAAAACATCTTAGCAACAGGGAAGGATGTGGTGGAGTGCAACGTGAAGCAGACACTGGTTCAGACAAAGGAAGAGGAGATACCTGAGCCTGACCGGTTTGAAGAACGTACGTCTTTCCGTGCCCTGGAGGAAGGCAGGCGGGCAGGCGGGGAAGCCAGGCTGGGGTGGCAGGCCCTGCTGCTGGTAACCTGAAGCCCTTTGAGCACGAGGCACAAAGCCCAGTTTCCAAGAGAAAGGGCTTGCTGCTGTGACGCTGTGATGCAGCTGTCCTCGCAGAGGTTTGCTTGGCAGATCCAAGCTCCCTGGGCTGCCTGCACAAAAGGAACTCTGCTGGCAGGGGAATACCCTAGGGACGTGCAGGGTGACCTGGGCAGGAAGCCCAGGTACTGCGGGTCCTTTTTCCAGCCAGCATAACTCAACATAGACTAGGACGCTTGCCAGCCTGACCGTGGCTTGGGCTGTTCTCTTTCCCTCCAAGATCAGAGCACGCACTTACACTAGCGAAGCTTAAATGTCGAGCAGAACCTTAAGCAGGACTTTGGCCTGCAGAGTATTCTGGGATGGCCAAACCCTGCCTCATATCTCTCTGTGCTTGAATGTTCATGTGTATGGGTACATGCCAGCCGGGCCTTCGCTAGTCAGGGTAGCACAAAGATGCACAATGCTAGAATAAGGTGTCCAGAAGGGGTGCTTTGGTCCCTGCTGCAGGGAAGCCAGTACGACTGGCTTCACACATGCCTTGTATCCTCTAAAACTTGTCACAAACCGAGTGTTGTCCTTGACACATCTGAAATACCTGTGTACTTTGTACTGTGGCAATATTTGGGGACCAGCTGGCCGCAGGTCTGCGCTGCAAAGCGGCAGCTAGTGTTCTGTGCCTGTGCTGGTCCTGGGAGCAGAGATGGTTGTGGTCACTGGGTGCTGCATTTCAACTAATGAGCCTCAATGGCTTCAAGCAGGCTCTGTCTCCATCCAGAAACCAGTTAAATTGCCAGCAATTGCCAACAGCAATTGTCTGCACAAGAAAACAAGAAAGTTACCATTCCTGCAAGATGGGGAATGGTAAGAAGATGGACGGGGAGGGGAGAGAGAGGGGGGCACTTCCTATTGCGTAAGGGACTGCTGAGGTATTTTGATGACATATGCAAGATGAGTGTTACAGCAGACACCAGCCTTCCTTGGTGGGACCACTGTTCAAGCAGAGCTGGAAAATTGTGGGTTCAGATTTAGACAGAAATATATTTTCTTGCTTTTTGGCTGAATCCTGTTTCCACAGTGTTTTCTCTTATCCATCAGTGGTGAATGAAGTTCAGGAGAGGAAGGAGTTCCTGGCAGAGATGGAAGCTCTGGGACAGGGCAAGAAGTATCAAAGTATTGTCCTCACTGAAATCTCACAGGTATGTGAGGGTCCTGGCCGCATTGGCCATAAAGTGTGTGGAGGGAATCCCTAGCATCAGAGACCCTAAAGCAGAGTCTCCTCTGATGCCTGAGCAGGGAAGGAAGCAGAGAACTGAGTGTGTCCCTTCATGGCATGGGACAGGAGTGAATTTGGGGAATGGGGGATAGAGGTTTTCCGGCCTTTTTTCTGTCTCTGCATATAAGTTAACCAGGGAAATAGACCCTTTGTTCTTGGGGTTGGCAAAAGAAGAAGAAGAAAAGCTGCCAACATTTTCCCTGCTCAACCCTTCCCCTTTGTACTTTGCAGAAAATGCGTGAGATGGAGCTCATTGACAAGAAGAGAAGTGAGGAAATGAGAGACATCGTGACAAAAGACTTCCCTAGTGGGAAGTCTCTTTTCCCTGGTAGGAAATCTGATCCCCCGGACTAGGCCAAGGGAAAAACACAAGTGCAATTTGTTCCCACCTCGTTCTTTCCAGCCTCTTGGCATCAGAGTCTGGAGGGCTGCTCTGTGCCGGTGCCCAAAGAGGGGGCAGCACCACCTGTTGCCTAAAGCCAGCAGGCAGGAGCAATTTGTACACAAGCAGGAGAAGCAAGCTGTTGTAAAATCCTACCCACGCGCTGGATCCCTTCTTGCTCAATGATATTAAATAGATGAAAACACACAGCAGCGGCTACCAAAACGTGACGAAGCAGAGCCTCCTTTTGGCTATGCAGTTCCCCAGAGTCCAGCAATTCACTGGTAAAAATGTCACCCCTTTCCACCCACCCAGAGGTGGAGGTTTCTCGTGGCAGCATGATGATAACACACGTGTTGCGAGCCACATCTACGACCCACTCCTCTCCCCGTGGGACTGTCTGGGAAGGGCTGTGCTGGCTGGGAGGAAGATGCAGCCGCATAGCCCTTGCGCAAGCCTGAGCCTCCGGCGTTGCTGCAGGTCAGCGTGACTCTGTGCATCAGCAAACTTCTCGGCAGCAGCTGAGCTGGGCAGGCGCTCAGGAACACAGCTGCGCCGAGCAGGGAGAGGGGATTTCAGCCCAGCGCCTGCTGCTCTTTGCTGCGAGCTTGCATGTGGTTTTTTTGGTTCCTGAAAGCATGGTGTGCAGAATAGCCATCGGCTTCCCACACAGCCTGGAAGTGGCTCTTTGCTCACCTCATGAATAACCCCCACCTCTGTCCTCCAGCAGGCTGGAGCACGATGCACTGCTATTCCTGCGTAAATCCCAGCATAAAGTCCACCTCCCAGTTTCCTTCAGATCCCATCATCTGCTTCTTAGCAGTACTCTTGTCAGCCGCTCCCCAAAGCCAGGCAGCAAGAGGGCACAAAGGAAGCAGAAACCTAAGCTGCAATCAGTTTTTAAATCCATGGTTTCTTTTATTTCTGTTCAGGTGAATAGAGTTAGTACAGTATGATTTACAAATCAGAGTTTTCTGACCGGGTGTGGGGCCAAGGGGTGTCAGGCTGCAGCGATCCCCATGGCCTTTGGCAACAGTGAGGCGACAGCAGGCTCTAAAGCAGATTTGTTTCTCCTTGGAGAAAAGTTGTGCTTTGCCATCTCCACCTCTCCTACCACTGCTCCTCTACAGCCTGCCTGGGGCACGGCAACAGCGAGATGGTGTCACCAGCGTGGGGCTGAGCTTGTCACCTCTCAGCCACAGGGACCACGCTGGGATTGAGGAGGGGCTCAGGTCCCTCAGGTTTTTGGGGAATGAGGATCCCTTTCCAGAATGCTACGCCAGCCCCCTTGCAAGGCACGGCTCTGAGAGCCTTTTGGCTAAAGCCTGTTGGGGTTTTAGAAGGGACTGCAGCAGTTTGCTGGGGGCTGGTTATGTCTAATTTGCTAATGAGAAGGCATGATGAACAGCTGACCAACCAGACACCCATGAAACACTAATTCAGACTGATCCAATAATTCAATAAATAGCTCCTCGCCTTGGAGGAGAAGGCAGGAAACAAAAATGGAAGGAAAAAGGGATGGTTGGAAGAACACCGCCCCCCTCCATTCCCTCCTCCATTGTACACACACACGCACACACACATGACAAATAAAATAAGGGGTTTAAAAAGTTTTAGGGTGGGTTTGAATTCCTCTAGTAAAGGAAAGGTGTAAAAAATAACCAGCCAACCCCTGCACACTTTTAAAGTATACGCAGATGAAGCTGGGTAAAGGTCAGTTGTGACCGTGCCTCTCTCCCCAGCCGCTCAAGGGTGGCACTGGTAAGCAGGGACACCAGCTTAGTGTCCCTTGCCGGCACTGAGTCAGTCTTGAGCTTTTCTGCCCTTGCCTGGAAAAGGAATGTTCCTCCCTCCCCCCAAAAGCAGCAGAGTCAGCGGTGTTTAGCAGCAGCGGGGGGGTAAGATGTCCTGAGTAGGGAGAGCGAGCTGCGTCCCAGCAGCTGTACACCCGTCCCCTGGGGTCCTCTCAGCCCTGTAACGGAGCCCACCCAGCCCTGGTGCCTGAGGGAGGGGACAGCTCAAAATAAATAGGGCACCAGTTATTTTTTTGGCCGTGGCTCTAGAGCCTTGTGATGCGAGAGTGTTTTCTTAACATTTTAGTTTAGGCCAGTAAAACCTAAAGAATCCCGATTCTAATGCCAGAGTTTTCTCCTGAAGTTAAAAATGGGTCAGGAAAGGGACAAGAGCGGGCAGAGAGGGACAGGCAGGCCCAGTCCCCTCCTGGCAGAGGTCGGAGGCACGTGGAACTGTCACAGTTAGAGCGGGAGAAGGGATGGGGGGCAGTTAGTGCAAGTTTTTCCCACAAACACCAAACTCCTTGGCTTGCTTCTCAGTTAATAACAAGAACACGCAACGGGGTGACGTATCCGCAAAGCGAATCCATCTTCTCCCCGCTTCATTAGCAAGGCTTCACGGAGGGGACAGCCGGGCTCCTCTGCAGCCTCGGGAAGGGGAGCGCTTTGGTCAGACCCCCGCTCCGGGCAGAGGGCTGGCACCTCCCTGGGACAGGAGCTCCGGTGCCTGGGGAGGGAGCGGGGGGAGAGGCAAGGGGAGCGGAGGGACACAAGCCTCCCTCCTTCCTGGCAGCATCCCATCGAGCTGCCCAGAGGCCAGGGCAGTTGGGCAGCACACCCCCCCGCTGCTGGTGTTCCCCCGCTCTAGCTTTTCTCCTTGGGCGACTTGTTCTTGGAGTCGTGCTTGTTGCCCAGCAGCTTAAGCACCTTCATGGGCTTGAATTTGCCTTTCTTCTTGCTCTCTGTCTCCGTCTCCTTGTGAAATTCTGGGGTTGCAAAGGGAGGTTGTTACTGTGGGATGCTGATGGTTGTACACACACACACACGGCAACAGGGTGAGAGCCATGAATCAAAGCCCTGCACTGTATACACACCTCTTTCTGTGATCACAGAGGTGTGCAGCACAACTGTGCCCCAAATTTTAATGGCCCTAGAGGAAAGGCTCCAGAGTCTACAAAGAACACATTCAGTCTCTCCTCCTGCACACAATTTCATGACTGGCTTATGCTGCCCCTCGCTGGGGTCAGCAGTGAAAACATCCAAAAAACTTCCCGACTGTTTCTTACCTTTCCTTTTAATCATGGCTTCCAACATTTTATCCTCCTCCTCTTCTCTGAAAGAAAGAATGGGAAATAGGTCAGCAATTCAGCCCTGAAAACAGCTGTTGTATTGTTTAAGGCTGGAGAACCTCCTACTTATAAGCCATGGAGAGGCAGATCCATCACTGTCTTGTGAGCATTTGCTATCAGCAGGATAAATCCCACGTCCTGCAAGTCCTGCCCAGTTCTTTCCCACACAAGAGATTCAAATAGACAAGAATCGGGAAGCCTGGGAGAGGCGTCAGCAACTGTGACATCTTGGGACACCCCCACAAGACACTCGTGTGGCGTTGAGTCAGATGGGCTACACTTCTCTCCTCCAGCCCACCCCACTCCTCACTCACCTCTGCCGGTCCTCATCCAGGCAGTTCACAATGGCGTTCCTCTGCTCAATGATGGTCACCAGCTCCTGCATCAGCACCTTCTCTCTTCCTCGGTCCTCATCGGTCCAGTCCTTCTCTACCCAGCCAAGCGCCGAGGAAAGACAGGCAATTAAACGACTGAAGGAACTCTGAAATCCAAAGCTGTGGGGCAGAGATCCTCTAGCAGGATACCCTGCTACCCTGGCGTGCTGGAGGGCCAGTTGGGCTAGCAGTGCTGTGGAGGGAGAGCCCTGTAGGTGGCATCCCATGGGGACCAAAGAAGCCCATCCCTGCACAAGGTTGGGGCATGCAATGAGGTGGGGCAGCAGCTCTAAAGCCTGCTGATTGTGCTGGCATCCTTAAAGTCTTCACTGTGAGGGTGGTGGAGCACTGGAACAGGTTGCCCAGGGAGGTGGTTGAGGCCCCATCCCTGGAGATATTCAAGGAGAGGCTCGATGAGGCCCTGGGCAACCTGGTCTAGTTGGGGATGTCCCTGCTGACTGCGGGGAGGTCGGACTAGATGACCTTTGGAGGTCCCTTCCAGCCTGGGCAATTCTATGATTCTATTCTATGATTCTAAAGATCTGTCTCTCTTCACCTGAGACCCATGAGGTGACACCCAGGGGAAAACTGGAGGTAACTGCACCCAAAGTGGTGATTTACCCGGCTTGTTGAGGAGGCAACGCAGCTCATACTCCACATCCGACTGCCGCTGCTCCAGGTTCTGCTGCTTGAAGCTGCAAGAGAAGGGGGCACTGCCAGGAACCACTGGAAGGCTCCAGAGAGGCAGAACGTCATCCCAAGGTATGGGGTGAGCTTGGAAAGAAACCAAGCCTTATCCCATAGAGCCAAAGGGTCAGGGAGCCAAGCACCAGTAAGGACCAGCCCTGGCTGTTCAAGGCCTTCCTGGAGGAGATGCTACAGAAGCTCTGGGCACTTGCAGTGAATCAGTTCTGAGTGTGTTTGCATACATTTGTCTACTTGCCCTCTTTCTCTCCCTTCTCCAGGGAAGGAGGCCGTGGGAGGCTCTCCCCTGGAAGCACAATTTCAGGAGGGCTGAGACAGGGCTCCCTGCAAGGGCATCGGTGTCTCCCCACACGCTTGCACACACTCACATGTAGATGAGCTCTGACTCGTGGCGCACCAGCATGTGCTTCTCATGGATGAGCTTGAACCAGTCCACCAGCAGGCTGTCCTCAGGGCTGTCTGCCAAGCAAAGGGACAATTCAGAGCCATCCCCAGACCTGCAGGATCCCACCACCTGCAGCAGAATAGGCTCTGCTAAGCCAGGAGAGGGACACCAAGGTGGAGAAAACCTGACCCCAGCCTGTTCCTGAGCCCCAGAGAGACCTTTTCTCTTCTCCCACCTGTTTGCACTCTAGGGACTTCTCTGTGTCCAGGGTATGGCTGTGACCATTCTTGGAGCCCAGCACAGCCCCTTGTCCTCTTCCAAATCCAGCATCAGCAGGGAGGAAGTCACCACTGCTATCTCCTTGGCTGGACACAAGGCAGCCCTAGAATCCTGTCTTGTCCCACATCCACAGAAAGCCCACCCTACATACCATTCTCAGCGCTGCGAAGTTTTTCCTCCAAGGCCACCCCACGGTGCTCCAGCTGGTCCAGCTGGTGCTCGATGGCATCCATCTCCCCATAGATGTCTTCCTCAGGAATGTATTGATCTGTCTGCACCTGCCAAACCACAAGGCAGAGACTTCCATTACCATCAACCTCCAGTTCCCAGGGGTAACCCTAAGGCTGGTCGACACTAACGGAGGCAAGGGGAACAACAGAACACTCTACTTAAGTGTGGATCCCAAATCTCCACCCCACTCCAAAACAAAGGGTGCCATCCACAGGGTCCAGCCTAGAGACCATCCTTCTCCCCACCCACACCTGCATCAGCAGGGTGCATGTACACAGCTATGGCCCTGGGGATAGCACAGAGCTGGCTTTTCCCCCCCTGCTCCCAAAAGCCCTTTTACCTTGCGTTTGATCAGGGGGAAGCCATGACCCGGTGCAGGAGGACGCACTGGCTTGGAGCCCTTGGGAGGTTTCTTTGCAGAGGGAGAGGCGGCAGGCGATGGCTTCCGGTTGAAGGGGTTCTCTTTGCAGGAAGACTGGAGTTGGGGGACAAAAGGAGATGCATGAAGAGCCTGGAAAGGGGAGGGATACAGCATCCCAACAGCTGGGACTGAGCAGACAGGGCAGCCCTAGGGTTTGTCCTGCCCCACACCCTCCTAGAGGGGAACGCAGCACTGATCTCCACCACCAGCCTAGCCGTGGGCGAAAAACAGACGTGCTCCTGTTTGGCACCAGTTCCCCAGCTTCTCTCTAATAACCATGCTGAAACACTTTCCTTCATGCTTCCCTTCCCATTTCCTCTGACCACAAAACATCCTGCCTCTTCTTTAGCACCGGGGCAGGCAGAGTATGAGCAGAGCCACCATTTAACGAGCACACACCTGAGGCTTGCTTCACACATCAAACCTGATTAAAGGACAAGCCTAGATTAATGATCCCCACTGTGATCGAGTGATGGCCAGGAAAGAAAAGCCCCCTGATCTGGATGGGAGACAGGTCACCATCTCACCTTCAGCTGTGGTTTGGGCGAGGAGGGGGTCTTAGGGCTCCCAGCACCTCCATCTGAAGCCAAGAGGATGGGTGTAGGGCTAGCCCCAGCAGGAGGCTTGGGAGGCACCCGGCTGGGGCTGGTCTTTAAGCTGCCAGTGGAGATACTCCTGCTGGTGTGTGGGGTGCTGGGCTGCGCCTCCCCACTGAAGTTGGCCAGCTCGCTGGAGGACGAGAAGGAGGAGTTGGTGGAGAGACTGGCCGGGGCAGCAGGACTTTCACCGGAGCAGATGCTGGCCAGTGGCCTGTCAGTGCTAGAGGTCTTGGTGGCTGTCGGCGTGTGGACGGTGGGCTCGGAAGAGCTTTTGGGAACCAGGGCCTCATCGGCTTCACCCAGCACCTTGGCTGAACTCTCAGAGTTGATGCTCTCGAGGCTGAGCGCTGGAGACGGGGTGGAGGACGATGGCTCAGAGTGCGACAGCCTGGAGATAGGGTGGTGGGCTGCAAAGCAAAGGGAAAGCTCAGAGAGGAAGGAGGGGCCAGCCAGGAGAGAAGGGGAGAGTGGTACATACTGGGGGCAGTCGTGAGTGCAAAGGGAACCAGTGTCTGTCTCTCTTCAGAGAGGACAGGCAGGACCCTGCAGAGAAAAGGTCTTGCCTGCAAACTCTGTGCTCCAGCGGGTAGAGAGGACATGGCTAACAGAAGTCCCAGCACAACCATCCCCTCCTAAAGGCCTGGCCTGCCAGGGTGATGCAGAGGTGCCCTGGGAAGGGGGAGCCCCCAAATGCCTGCACAGGGGTTGCGGAGGAGGGATAAGGGGGTGGGGGGCAGCTTACCTAGCGGGGAAGCACTGGGGGCTCGTGGAGCTGGCCGCTTCTTCGCCTTCGGGCTGCTGTTGGGAGTGATGCCGTACCAGGGGTGGAGAGGCTTGGCAGCAATCTCACTCTGCTCCTGCTCAGGCGTGCTCTTTTGGGCAGCAGCACTCTCCTCTTCCTCCTCCTCCTCAAAGGGGTTGTATGGTTTGGGCTCTGTGACATCAGGCTTGTTCTCCTCACTCCTGGCTTTCCCCACCCCCTCCCCATCCTCCTCCTCTGAAGTCCTGCTTGGAGTCTCATGGCTGCTGCCTGGGGGAGGAGGGGGAGCTGGCTTCTTCTTGGGCTCTGCTTGCACTAAGGCTATCCATGGTGGGTCCTTGGCTCTTGCAGCAGCTCCAGCACTGGGAGAAGAGAGACAGATGTGGTAGGGAGCACAGACAAGCTGGGAGGGTGAGGCACAGCAGAGGGACTTCACCCTCAGGGGAAAGGAAGGACGGAGCAGGATGTCTCCCATACAGAAGCAGCTTTCTCAGCCAAAGGTAGCTCTAGTCTTCCCCAGACACAAAGTGTCTCGTTCTCTGTGGGCAAACCTACAGGCCTGAGGGAAGCACAGCCTGCCCAACTCGCCCACCGGGCCCAGCGTTTTGGTTTCTGAATATTACAACCTCTCCAGGCCCGCACCATGGCTCAGTGAATCCCTGTTCATTGGGAAAGCAGCTATCACTTGCTGCACGCACCCGTGCCTTCACCATTCCGAACCTGGGGTGCTTGTGCAACCTCTGTCCCAACAGCAGGCAGGAATGAACCAAAGTCAGTGGTCTGGGTAAGAGCCCAGGACATGTAAAGGTTGCAGCCGGGCACTCACATCGTCCCTGCACTGGACCTTTCCTGGGACAAACCCTCCACGAGGCAGACAAGTGTCTCCTTCTCAGCACCCACAAGCAGGGCCATTTCAGAAGGCACTTGGCAGTCTGCACAAGACACAGAAATGCCTTTCTGAAGCCCCCAAACTCTTTACAAATCCTAAGAGATAAAGACCCCGGGAGGTACGGGCAAACACTGTCAGCCCAACTGTACTGGGCACCTGTTGGGTAAGGGAAGGGACCTGGATCATAGTCTACATCTTCCAAAGAACAGGGGCTGATGGAGGTGGGAGAGGAAACCACAGCTGAGCCATCCCCACAGCCCCACCTCGCTAAGGGGTTTGCAGGTGACCTGTGAACAGAAGGACCTACCGATCAGAGGAGCAGGGTCTCCCTCGGGGTTTTGGGACAGGGGGGCTGGGTTCAGGTACCCTACCTAGAAAGACACAGGGTCAGACTGTCACAACACCAAAAGGACATGAAGAAAGAGGTTAAATCAACATGAGACACTTATTATGCATCTACCTGCAGAAGGCTGGCTATTCCTACTCCCTGAAGACCTCATGGTGTTCCTCCCACGGTCGGTGCAGTCCATCAACCCCAAACATCCCCCTTGCCTTTTTCTCCCTACCCCATCCCTGGAGCTGCACCTGGAGAACTGACCTGCCCCCCTCTGTCCCCACACCTGAGAACTGCTCTAGCACTGCCACCTTCCCTCCACGCTGGCAGAGCTCCAGAGAATTTCAAGGGAGCAGGCAGGCGTAAAACTTAGTGCTGCTCTTTGCTCTATGGGGACAGCTGGCAATCGAAGGCTTGGCATTCAAGACTAAGATTTCTTAGAAGGCAGGAGGGTGTCAGGCTGCAGAGAAGGAGCAAAACTAACCTGACCTGCAGCCAACCACCTCAGCTACTGCAGAAGTGGGGGGTAACTCCTGCCACCACTGTGCTCCCTTACCGTTCACCATGCCAGGCCCATATTCGCTGCCCTCACCCTGGAGAGTGGACCTGGGCCGGGGGACAGGGTGAGAGGCTGGAGGGGAGAGGGCTGACGCATCGGTGGCCCTTCTCGGGGCAGGGGTGGGCCGTGTGTCTCTGAGCCGTCCGTCCAGTGAGGTCGCTTTGTCCTGGGGGAGCACGGTGGGCTTGCTCGGAAGGGGAGGTCTGGGGGGAGTTTGGGAGACGGGTGCCCCGCTGCCTGCATGGGCAAGGGGCACCGCTGTCTCTGCTTTGCTGGGCGTGCTGTCCTTCTCCACTGGGCTGGCAAGCCCCTCCACAGGCACACGGGTCTCTGCAATGCTCTCCAGGGAGTCACCATCATCCTTCCCCACCTCTGCTCCTGCGGGGACGGTGTCCTCACCCACGCTGCCCGCCCCAGTTTCAGTTCTTAGCTCTGGCGACCGTCGGTCTGGGCTGGGCCTCCTCTCTGTCTTTCCACTCATGGTCAATTTACCACGATGTTGCGTGCAGACGAAAGTCCCTGCCTCTGACCCAGGCTTGTATGACCCCGGGAGCAGCGTGCTGGAGCACTCCTTACATCTGCCAACAAGAAGAGAGAGCCCTGTGAGATGGGGGACACCATCCTGCCCCTCAGGGAAGGCAATGCACCTGGGAGATCCTTGCAGGGCTGTGGAGTTAGCTGCCACCCCTGCTACTAAATCCTAGTGGGGTCATGGGGAAGTCACTCAGGAAAGGAGAGGAACAGAGAAGTGTCACCATGCCACTGTATGAACCCGTGGGGAGTTCACAACTCAAATACTGCATGCATTTGGGTTGTGCCTTCAGCTCAGAAAGTATTTAATAAATGTGGAAGGGCAACAGCTGGTATTGGGATATGGCATGGTTCCCAGACCTAGAAAAGTAGAAACCCACAGTTTTCCTGGAAAAGAGGAGGCTGGTGGGGGACAGGAGAGAGAGCGCTACAAGATCACAGGGGGAGAGGGATCAACCATTCACAAACAGGAGTATCATCTGGCATTGGGGAGCAGCTGCTTCAGAAACAGCATGGAGGCTACGGGCTGCCTTGTAGGGGGCAAGGCTCCAGGGCAGGTTAAAGAACCATAAGACACATTTGTGGGGGAAAAAAATAAAACAATTCTGAGCTGTGTCTCCCTCAAACTCTGAGTGTTAAATAAAATTATGCCACTTCCAACTCAGGAAATCCCTGCACTAGACGCTTGAAGAGCAGTCAGGAGAAGCAGCATACAAGCCTAGCCTGGTCTTGCACCCATCTTCGCTGGTGCTGACCACAGCCCCCACCAGGGTCATGGCATCTGGCTGGAAGGACAAGGGAATGACACAGTAAGGCCATTCTTACACTCTGCCTTGTCTGCTGAAACTGGGCTAAAAGCTTCCCCATCCTTCACTGTCTTGGATCATCCATTCTTTCCCTACTGAGCCTTTGAATCCTCCCTAACGAAGCCCTCCAGGCGCAAGTGTGATGCACAGCGCTGGCAACCAAGTCAGCCCTTTTCCACCTGGGAAGGGAGGCGGATGGCACACATGAAAGGGAGCCAAGGGCAAGGGGCTGATCAAGCACTCCCATGAAAACCAAGCTTGTTCCTTCTTGTCTGAATACCCGGTGCTCACAGCAGCTGGCTGCTCTATGCTGCAAGCAGATAGTTTTGGTGAGGAATTCTGCCCTGGGTGTCCAGTTGACTGGGGTTTCCTTTGAAATGTAGAGCAGAAGCGTGAGGACGCAGGGGCTCTGGAGAGAAGGGATATGATGAAATGAAGAGGTGGCAAGTTCAGGCAAGGGAAGAAAGAGGTTTGTTTTGGTTTTATCTCCGTGAATCCACAGAAAATGCTGCCACAGGACATTCCCGACCAAACAGCGCCCATGAATCAGCAGGGGAAAAAAAAAAGGAAAAAAAAAAAAAAGACAAGGAAAGCATAAGGAGGCAAAACACTCAGGATAAAATTACAGGGATGCCACTGCTCAGTCTGAAGATCAGTCATGATCTGTGCCAAGGCAGACATGGCACCTCTCTTATTCCTGGTCCACGAGCAACGCTGTACCTGCACCCCAAAGCTCCTGCTTGTGCCACAGCCACAGGTGGGAAGCTTGATGGGCCAGCTCAGCTCCCCTCCTGCCACGCTGTTTCTGTGACACATCCCCAGGTGGCTTAGGCAGGAACTGTTTATACATGTGAATGAGACCTCACGTATCTTCCCAGTGGCTCAATATTTCTGTCCTCAGGTGCCAGCTGCCCACTTGCCAGCTCTTGTCCTCTCATCCTTTCATCATCAGAGCAGGGAAAGCAAAGTGAAATGACTTCACAGGTGCTGCAGGTAAGGACCTGCACCTAGGGAGTAACCACAGAGCTGCTGACGTCTAATCCCTCATTCCTCAGTTTGGTAACAGCCTGCAGCTCTCCACACGCTCCCCCGAGAGCTCAGCACCACCCCAGGCAGCGTGGGAGCCTGTATATCCAGTTGAGGATGTGGACTGTGGGTAGAAGGAGGTCTGCAGGATGATGTCCTGGCTTAGACCTCCTTGGAAGTTGGAGGGGGGGGTTCCGGGTAGGCAGGTGGTAAAAGAGGCAGAGCATCCTGGTTTATGGAGGTGGGAGAAGCACAAGGGGCTGGGATCCCAAGTCAGTGAAGTGGGCAAATGCAAGAGAGCAGGGGAGGCAGGGTGTAGGGGAGTCAAGCAGCACAGGGTGGCACACAAGGGGCTAGTCGGACCTCTCGGACCGACTGGCAGGCAAACAGATCCTCTCCAGTATCATTTCAGACACTGTCATCGATGGTCCGTGTTGCACAAGGACACGGACACGCAAAGACTGGGTGCAGCTGGCCACACACCTCCAGTTTATGAAGGACACCCCACCAGGACATACCTGAAGCACTGGCGGTGGTAGAGCTTGCCCTCGGCCAGGTAGCGCTGGACCAGATGGACGTGCTGCTGGCAGGCTGCGCAGGTACTGCTGAGCGTGCTGCGCTGGGACTGCTCCGGCCCGTCTGAGGGAGCATCGTCCTGAGACACGACACGTGGGGAGCTCAGGATGGGGGCCACGAGCTGCTCCCCAGCCCGTGGCTCCTCCACAGCAGCTGCTCCCTGTGCGAAGCCTGTCACTGAGGGCTTGTGGCACAGCTCAGGAGGCTGACAAGCCACAGAACAGCTGCCCCTGAGTTCAGGGACAGGCAGGCTGCCTCTTCCCAAATTAGAAGGGGCCACTCCCAAAGGCGCCTTGCCCCTATCTAGGGCTGAAGGGCTCTGGAAGGGACTAATCCCCGCCAGGCAGCGGGGACCTGCAAGAGGAACCCCCAATCTATGGAAAATGTGCCATCCCAGACATCTGCTAAAACCTGAAAGAAAGGGCCAAGAAAGAAAAAGGCACCTTTTTTTCTTTTCTAATCCCACATTCCTGCTCTTTCCTCATCTACAGGGTTATCCTCTCACAGGAAAGAGGGTGCTTGTGCCCTGGGTGGCTCAAGGAACCATCTGGCACCCAATCTGCCCAACCTCTTGCCTGCCATGGTCAAATTTCAGTCCACGGACTCCTAGAGAGAAATCACTCTCTCAGCTGGGACCTGCAAGGCACCAAAATCCCAAACAACCCTCCCACCCTGAAATACATCGAGCAGGGGAGACAGGGAGCAGGGGAGTAGTACTCTCTGCAGGTAGCTCCCTGCAAAGATCCATCCCACTGTGATGGACTCTCTCCTGCGCAGCGCAGGAAGCACTCGCTGCCTCAGGCTGGCTTTGAATGAGAAAGGAGGTACCTGTGGTGCCGGGGGACTCTCGACCGCAGCCACAGGCTTCTTGTGGGACAGCAGAGGAGGCGAGGAGGCAGCAGCTGAGCGCTTCATAGGCGGAGGGACTCTGGCTGGAGGCAGAAGGCAGGGAGGATCAGGCAGGGAGAGGAGCGGTGACTCACACCACCCATGTCAAGGAAGGGGAGGGGAAAAAAGAAAAAAAAAAAAAATCATCTATCCTTGTGACATAGGACAGGAATTGCTGCTCCTGACACTTCAGCGCCTATTTTAGGTGGAAGAGACAAACACAATCTAATAATGGATTGTCTGTGAGGCTGCCAGAGAGCCTGGCCCTGCTGTGGATCCCCTTCTGTGGCCCAGGGCCACCAGGCTCTCACTGTGATTTGATTTACTCAACAAATGCTGCTTGGCTTCCTTGTAACTGACTCCCTAAGCAACGCTTAAAGCCCAGAGCACCCGGGGTAGCTGCCTACGTGTTATTGTGACCCACTGGGCCCCAGGGCTTCCAGGCTGTCAGCAGGTCTGTGAAGCATCCCTTGCCCGTCAGGGCTGGCAGTCACACACCAGTCCCCAGTGGGAGTCCTCGGCCAGGAGGCCAGCGTCCCTGGAGAAGTATGCGCACGTGGAAGAGATTTATCTGACGTTGTGGCTAGAGAGCGGAGCAGAGGAGACCTGGAGTCCTCATCTCCACCCAGGAGGGATGTCCTGGAAGAGCTGTCTCAGAGCAGCACTCAGCTCAGGTAGCAGTTGCAAGGACAGATGAGCTGATGCGAGACACCCCACCCTGGCCCCCCTCCCTGTCCTCCAGTCACTTTACACTTGCCAATGTGATAAAAATTAGCTGCAGTAGGCAGGCTGCCTATCTAGCTTTCTCCCATGTTAGTGGGTTAAAGAAGATGACAAAGGGGTCTGATGAGCACCAGGGGTGGTGGCCCAACCCAAGCTGCAGGAATGCAGCGCGGAGGGAGGAGAAACAAGGCGTTCCTCTTTCCGCTGCCTGAGCTGTTAAATCACTCTCCACCTCTTGTGAAACCTCATCCTACTCTAACGCCGTGTTCCAGGCCCTTCTCACCAGCACCAGAAGAACCAGGAGAGGCAGGTACTACCCACTCCTCCCCCTTTTCCCCACAAACACACACTTCTCCCATTTGCCATAGGAAGGAGGAACGACAAGGTAATTCTGGATTTCCTGTACTCAAATGGGGCCAAACTGGAAGCCAGAGGGGTGGGAGGACACTCACCTTGGCTGGGGTTGTTGAAATGGTTGTAATACTGAGACACGTAAGTCATGATGCTGAGGCAATCAGGGACTTTCATGGAGACCATGTCATTGGGATCTAACAGGGCTGGGATGCCCAGCTCCCGCTCTGCCAATTCAAAGGCCTGCAGAAACAGCAGAGACAGATGGTAAAGAGAGAAAATTGATACTCTCTGACAAATAACAAAGTTGGAAAGACCCTGGGAAAGGTTAAGTAGTAAGCCTATGACATCTCTGACAGACAGAGGCTCCCAGACATGCTGCTTGACTGGAAAGGTGGCATCAAAAGCAAGGGAACAAGTTGCTGCAGCTGCCCTTTCCTTGAAGTCATTTCAGCTGCCTGTGCCCCTAAAACTCCCACCTGAGGGGTCTTGGCATTCAGCTGCTGCACTGGGACAGTGAGGGTAACTCTCAGGAAGTCTGTTTTTACTGGAAAAATACCCAATGTTTCTTCAACCCGTGAAACAGGCACCCCACCACTGCTTCACTCAAGAGCCCAGCACAGAGCTGGCACCATGAATGGCCGAAGGTTGGCAGATAATTCCAGTGATGCAGCCAAACACCAGCTTTATTGAGCAGTAGCCGTGGCCGCCCCAAATGCTCACCCCACAGAAACACTGACCCTGCCCATCCTTTCATGCTCTGAGGTGCCACATCGTCCCCTCCCACCATTAACATAGCCTTCAACAGCCAGCAGCCTGCCACGCACAGGCCACTTCGGTGTTTTTCTGTGTTTTGGGGAGCAGAAATGACAAAGGCATTGTGATAAGAAGCACACAGCTCCTCCAACTGCATACATGACTACTTGGAAGGAAGTCACGAAGGAAGAAAATAACTGAGAGCTTCCCACTTAGTGGTGTACGTGGATTACTGGTTATCCACCAGCCATCCCGCTGTTGTGCCGAGGGCAGCGTAACCACAGTGACTCCGAGGGAAAGGGGATGAAAGACTATGGCAGGGGTTGGAGAGAAAGCGAGTCAAGAGGGGATGGGAGTGATGTGGGCACTGAATGGTGAGGTACCAGGGACAGGGTGTGGGTAAAGACTGAGGGTGCCTGGTCTCTGGGGCACAAGATGCTGTGCAGGGTGTGGGATCTAAAGAAAAGGAATGGAGAAATAAATGAAAATGGCTATTTGCAGTAAGTGGGGGTGTAAAATGCCCACTGTGGGCACCCAGGTCTGCTCAGCCCAGCTTTAAGCTGGTTCTCCAGACTGAGCCTTGCTGGTCATAAGGCTGCAAGCAGCAATGACAGACCTCAGCTTAGGCAAGAAACCTGTTGTGTGGCTCTCGAATGGGAAAAGATAGCTGCTAATGGCTGAAAGGGGCCAGTTGGTCTAGGTAAGGGCATGGCCAGGACCCAACTGGAGAGCCCTAATCCCAAAAACCCAAATCACTCAGCTCAACTCGTCTTGGGAAAGTGATGGCCTACGTCTCTCCATGGACTGTCAGCTGGAACCTGTGGCAATTAGGTCTTTCTCTCAGCAAAACAGCAAGGCTATTGCTGCTCTGTCCTACCCCTAGCCCCCTGGTGCTTGCCATCTTCCTGTTTCCACTGCCGCATTCTGCTGTTGGCTCCAGCTGTCACAAGCAAGAGGGGAACACTGCAGACCAGCCAAGGTCCAGCACAACCTTCTTCTCCACTTATGCCTGGAGTAAAATTAGCTTCCTGCTTTCATTGCCTGCAAGTCTAGAACAGCTGAGGTCAAGAAGCTGTTGCACCATTTTAATCTTCACCTGAGATGTTGTCTTGGCAACTACCAGGATAACCATCTTATTTTCTCTTCAGTCCAGGCTGGAAGCTAATGTTTCAGATTCCTTTGTTTCTGGAGAAGCTTCTGCTTGTAACTTACAAACACAGATTTTTCTCACCCCCTCACCACCATCACGAAGTCCTCCCACAACATATAACCTCCATCAAGTCATTCTAATGTCCCTTCTTCCTTTTGTGTACAGCCTAATGGGGACTTACCAAGCGGTTATTCTCGTAGACGTCATCCTTGGAGAGGGAATCAAAGTCTCTGAAATGAGAAAGCACAAAAAAAGCCACATGAGATGCAGAGGAAGAGTGCCCCAATGCCACCACATGCAGGTTCTTAGGACAACCAGCCTTCCTGGGACATTACAACTCAACATAAAAGACCCTAGATAAACAAAACCTTGACAAACCGGATTTCAGGTTGAAAAGGGACATAGAACCTAAAGGGAAATTGTAATCAAAAGAAGAAAGCAAGTCCCAAATGAGTGGTGGCCAGGAAATGAGAATGCTATTCTCGTCTCTCGTTACCTGCTTGTTCTGCCCTCATGGTTAAAGGCTGCTGAAATACCAGGGCCATGTTCCAATTAGCACCAAACACCGCTGCACAAAAGGGTGCACATCACCCCAAACTTGTCACTCCAAGGCCACCAGCACAACAGCAGGAGGAGGATGGGGAAGCAGATCCCCCATCTCAATAGAAAGAGCCACCTGTGCTAGATCTCTTCCTCGTCCTTGGACAAACCCCCCTGCACCACCTCAAGGGGTTTGAGGTCACCCCAGGATTTAGGGTGACACAGAAGGTCTTAAACTGCACCTCTGTCCTCGCTTGCAGCCCAACACCTGCAGTACACAGCAAACTGGCCTCAGCCTTTGCAGCGAGGCAGGTTGCCAAATGCAAGGCTGTCAGGGCACAGAGAGGAACACCAGCAGTTCCCGATCCGGGCACGTTGTGGCATTTCACTTGTTCCCCTGGAACCCTCTGGGGGATCGAGTCAGCCTGGTCACAGGGACTGACTAGCTGCCCTCATCAGAGGAGCAAAGGGTAGAGGGTTAAAGCGGCCCTCAGGTTTTCAATAGAGGGGGAGAAATACAGGAAGGATTTGGTTATGCCTCTTGTATGCGTGCGTGGGTATGATGTGTGAAAACAGCATCACGCTAAACTGATTACAGCTCCTTCCTGCCAAGGATCTCAGCTGTGCTACCAAAAAAAAAAACCCATGCAGCAGCTTGGGGTGTCCGTGAGCTGGGTTCACGGAAGAAGATATAGCACAGAGAGGTTTAGGGTCAGGTGAAGCCACTCCAATGGCCTGGAGAGAGGTACCAAGGCTTGGGAGACTGACCCAGAAAGACAATTCAGATTAGGGGCAGGGGGAGAGCGTTCCCCTCACCCCAAAGGCGGTGTGCAGGAATCAGACAGTGAATCCTCAGCTGTGTGCCCATGGAGAGGGGCTGTGGGAGCCTCCCTTCCTCCATCCCTCTTTGGATTTTATTGCCTTTTCCTGTAACAGCGAGCCAACTCGCCCCGGCGCCGCGCAACCGGCCCCTTCTCGAAGCCCCTCGCGCGCCTTTCCTGATGCTGCAGAGGAAGCCCCACGATGAGCTCAGGAAGATTTTCCCAGCTGCCTGTGACACCATAAAAATTACACTTCCTCCGTTCAAAAGCCAGAGGCTGCTGGTGCCGTTTCCTCCCAGACGAACGGAGCCGCTGCCGCGGCAGCAAAGGCGGCAGGCACTGAGAAGATGGGCTGGACCTTCAGCTCCGTGTTAAGCTCCTTTCTGAAAGCTCAAGCAGACACACGCACAGAACTCAGCCTGCTCAAAGCACGGCAGCTTTTCCCTCTCTACACACTGGTGAGAAGAGGCATCACCCACAGCCTTTGCTTTGATGTGAAAACTAGTGCCTTTTTTCCTTTTTTGTATTTATGACTAGTTTCCACTGGGAGATGCTTTTTTTTTTCTTTTTTTTTTTTTTTTTCTAGAGAACTCCCTTTACCTTGCCTTTTGTTTTTTTTCCTTTTAAAGAAAATTCC